GCCAGGAAATCATCGCTTGGTGGAAAAGTCTGAAATTCTGACACGATCAAGCTAAGTGACTCACGAACGTCCTCCAACTGGAATTACTCCAAAATTCGTCCATTTGATTATGTTTTGCTCCGGAGGAAGTCGAAAACCCTATATTGGAAATATAATTCAAAGTATCAAAATTCTTCCAAAATATTAATCAAAATATACTAAGAATAGGGTTAAATATATAATATAAAATTGACTCATCAGTGCTACTCCATAATGCTAGGATTTCAGACACCATACCAGATTGGTTTTTGCAGTTGGATTTGCAATTAGTTAAACTAGATGTCGCTTATAATCAACTAAGCGGCAGGGTGAATCGATTGTTGATTTGAGTTCAAATCTTTTTGAGGGCCCACTCCCACTCTGGTCCTCAAACATTACCAGGCTGTATCTTAAAGAGAATCTATTTTCAGGGCCAATTCCTCATAACATTGGTCAAGTGATGCCCAATTTGATAGATCTAGACATTTCTAGGAACTCTTTGAGTGGAAGCATTCCCCTATCCTTCGGTAATTGAAGCCAATTAGAATTCATGATTATCTTAAATAACCACTTGTCTCGTGAAATTCCTCATTTTTGGAACAATATACCATCATTGCAAATGGTAGACATGTCAAACAACAGTCTCTCTGGTACAATCCCAAGATCCTTAGGCTATCTTACTTTACTCAACTTCTTGATCCTCTCTAGCAACAACTTTTCAGGTGAAGTTCCTTCCTTGAAAAACTGCACTGACATGTTTATTCTTGATCTTGGTGATAACAAGTTTTCTGGACAAGTTTTCAAGAAAAGGAAAAAAAAAAGAAAGAAAGGAAGCACATGGCAATAATAACAAAAAATCACACATCAAAATCATCATTTGGGTAAGAAATTTCATAATTCAAGTAAGCATGGTCATGGTAAAAGGAAAAAAGACAAGTTACAAATTGAAAAAAAAAAAAAAAAGTTGTGAAAAATTACCTTTTGTAATGTCCATGAGAGGTTGTTCAAATTTCTTATATCAAAAATCAAGACAATCTAAATCATCACTTTAACCATTCAAATGACGTGACACAAAAGTTCAGAAAATGTCGATTTTTTGTCCATAAGTTTTTCAATATTTTCTAAAGTTGTCAAGACTTAGAAATAATTAAAATTATGTTTTGTTTTGAGTTGTTTTATCGTGTCAACCCACAACCGAGGTGCTTTTCCCTTTCATATTTTGCCCCTCATTTTTTGCTTATTTTGTGTTTGGTTTCCTAGAAAACACGAGAACAAGGGAATAAGGCTACTCTATCAGTATTCTTGTTCCAAAATAACTCTTTATTTGTCTGAATTTGAGGGATTTTATTTGTTCAATTGTTATTTTTGGTGATAAGATATTAGTTTTTGTATTTTGCTACACTGTTTTTTCCTGCCTTGTATATTTCTTTTCTACTAATATTTCAAGGAAACTGCGGACATCATAAAACTCTGTAGTGGTTTTTTTTTTTTCTCCTTTTGCTGTCAAAATAAGAAACAGAGTTTCGTTTATCTATATATATAAAGCAATAGGTAGAGAATGGTGAAACATTCAAAATACCAGAAAATGCCCTTGGTTAATGCAAACATTAAGAATTGAAATTATTAATTAAATGAGGATAATATGGTAAATTCCCACTTAAAAAAAATTAAAATTAAAAGAAAAATCAGATAATAGATCCTATTTTTACGGAACACAACTACCCATTATCTTTTTAATTCTAAAAAAAATTAAATTCTTTTAAAAAAGGCCTCTCGCAGGAGTGGAAGCGCATGCAGAGAGGCTAATATATATAAAGCAAAAGGCAGAGAATGGTGAAACATTCAAAATACCAGAAAATGCCCTTGGTTAATTCAAGTATTAAGAATTGAAATTATTAATTAAATGAGGATAATATGGTAAATTCATATTTTTTCATATTTTAAAAAATTAAAATTAAAAACAAAATTGGATGATAGGTCTTACTTTTATGGAACATAACTACCCATGTTATCTTTTCTTAATTCTAAAAATAAAATAAAAAATAAAAAAGAAAACCAATTGACACATGCTCACACACATGCGTGAGCATGTGCGAAGAGGCTAGTATAAAGAAAGCATAAAAGAAGAACCAAATACGGAAGGCACTTCAAAAATTAAGCTTCACAGTGAGTGTTGGATAATGGATGAGTGAAAAGGTCAAAACAATTTTGGAAGTGTGAATAAAAGAAAGAAATCATGTCACGGAGAAAAATAAAAACCCTTCATTGTCTTGGTGTTGGAAATATTAGAGTGGATGCATAAAACTCTAAAACAATTTGAACGTTAATAAAAAGGTGAAGATGTCATTACAAGGGAAAAAAAAAAAAGATAAAGCTTCATGGTGTTGGAAAAAGTTTTGTGGACTACTTGTTTCAAAAGTCTTCAAATGAATGTGCTCATTAATTTTTTGACTCACACATTTTGGTCTTTGTCATCGCATTTTGTCAAAATTTTCGTAAAAATTGGTCGCTTGACAACGCATGACATAAAGTAAACAAAGCTATATATCGGAGAACAAAAATATCTTCAAAATGAGAATGTTTCAAAAATTCAAAAGCCACTTGTGATAGTGTGAAAGAAAGCTCCATTTGCATTAGTGTTGGAAAATTTTCTATGGACAAGACAAGACCAAAGCATTCATACAACTATGAAAGCGGGCATAAAAAGGAAGAAATCTTATCGGAGAAAGAAAAGCTTTAACACTGCGTTAGTGCTGGAAAAAATTTAGTGGATGAATAAAAGTTGATAACAATTCTCCAAGTGGTGTGCCAATTTTAGTGGATGAAGAAAAATTCAACACGGGCTACAGATGAATCTGTATGCTTGTCATCTTCATACTCCTCGAGACTGATTTCTGATCATACCCTGCAAAGATGGAAACAAATTTGAAATTAGCTTAGTATTAATTTGAAATTACCAGATTTGTATACCACATTCTCATATCACCTTATGTGGCAGATTTGAAATTAGCTTAGTATTCTTTTCTCTTATGATTTATTAACACTTTTAAAAAATGACTAATTAAACTTTCTTTATTAAAATACACTTCATTGATTTAAGTGATGCAAATATGATATATGGTATAGAAATATGGGATAAAAATGTGGTAAGTGTAGCATTACTCCTTATAATATTACATAAACACCATTGGCTTATGTATACTGCTTGATTTGTAAATCATAAACAATTTTCATTTTTAATAATGTCCTCATATGAAATTCGTAGGACTTGAGAGTTTTTTAATAAAAAAAAGAAAAGAAAAAGAAATATAGCAGGATCTCTTGTTCTATATCTATGACGAGTTATTTACACCAATACCTTCTGAGGTTTCTTGTGTTTTAAAAAAATCCCCTCAAGTTTAAAAAATTACATGAACACCTTCAGAGGTTCCTGTTTTCACAAAACCTCTTTCCGTTGATTGTTTGTCCAAAATTTGACGATTTTATTGAAAAACAATTTATGCAAATGACAAAATTAATCTCAATGAAGTATATGCAATCTAATCTCAAAGCACAAGTTTGTCATTTGGAGATTTTTTTTTTTTGGGTATAAAATAATCAATTTTTGGATAAAAAATCAATGAAAATGAGTTTTGTGAAAACAATTTAAAACCTCAGGAGATGTTCATGTAATTTTTAAAACCTCAAAGAGTTCTGTGAAAAAGCCAAAAACCTCAGAGGATGTTTGTGTAAATAACTCTTCTATGACTATTTCAAATAGTTTATTTGAAAAATATGCGTTGCAAGTATTCTTTTGGATATTAAATTTCTGACTTGTACTCCATATTTGTGGTCTTAAATATCCCATTGACTGAAATTGCTACTTTAAACTTCAAAGTCATTATCTGGCTTAAGTGCTGATGGGGTTGAACTACTTAGCCTACAACTCAACTTGACTTGGAAGTCTTTGCGTGCATGATCGTAGCAGTGTCATTGTCAGTATTTTATCTTTATCAAAGACTTGGAAGTCGTTTAATCGGTGTTCACACAATTTGTGTTGGTAGGGACCTGATTATGGAATTTTTTTGTTCTTGGTAGCGTGTCCGCGACACATAATGTTGAACAATTCGAAGTGTACAAATTCTTAACCATCTGAATTCTCATTTACTCCTATATAAAGGGCATCTTTGTGCTCTTTAATCTTGCAGACTCATATCTTTAGTCCTACAGATCATCCCATTGCATAAGAATCATGGGTCACTGCAGTGCTAGTGCTTTCATCCAACTTGTCTCACTAATTATACTGTCAGGAATTTTATCCCTTGAAACCATTAAACCTGGTTTCTGCAATGATGATAATAATGTGGGCTGCACAGATATAGAGAGGAAAGCCCTTCTCAAGCTCAAACAAGGCCTCACAGATCCTTCTGACCGGCTTTCGTCTTGGGTGGGAGAAGATTGTTGCAAATGGAGTGGTGTAGGCTGCAACAACATAACTGGACGTGTCGACATGCTCGATCTTCGCAATCGCTATTCAGATGGGTTAAATGGTTACAGATCAATAGAGCATGCATTTGGTGGTGAGATCAACCCTTCTTTGCTTGTTTTGAAAGATTTGGTTTACTTGGATTTGAGCATGAATTACTTTGGAGGTGTCCAACTTCCAAGTTTCATTGGATCACTAGAGAAATTGAAATACCTCAATCTCTCTGGTGCATCTTTTGGTGGAATCATTCCCCACAATATTGGAAATCTCTCAAGGTTGCTTTATCTTGATCTTGATAATAACTATGGTCACCCAATTGAGACTGACCTTCAATGGCTTGCAACTCTTTCTTCCTTAAAGTACCTTAACTTGGGAGGAGTGAACCTTGCTAAGACTACATCCTATTGGCTTCCCATTGTTAATATGCTTCCTTCACTTGTTGAATTGCATTTGCCCTCTTGCGGACTTTCCATCCTTCCTTTCACTCTTCCTTCTATCAATTTCACATCCCTTTTGGTTCTTGATCTCTCTATGAATGGTTTCAACTGCCCACTACCTCCTTGGTTGTTCAATCTCACTGAACTAGAGATGTTGGATTTGACATATAACAGTATGACAGGAGAACTGCCTGATTCTTTGGGATATCTTAAAAGCTTGAGATACCTCAAATTGTCAGTTAACTCATTTCAGGGTTCAATGCCAAAATCGATTGGAAATTTAACATCTTTGGAGGAGTTTAACCTTGGATGGAATCAAATGAGTGGGATCATCCCAGAAAGTCTTTGGGAGCTCTCATCGCTGGTTTCACTTCATATCTTTGGCAATACATGGGAAGGTGCCATTACAGAAGCTCATTTTGCGAAACTTGGAGGCCTGAGAGATGTATCAATTGGAAATGATTCTCCAAACATTTCCTTGGTTTTCAACATAAGTTCTGATTGGATACCTCCATTCAAATTAAGAAGCTTGTACATTAGATCATGCCAACTGGGTCCCAAATTTCCTACATGGCTTAGAAATCAGACTGAGTTGACCAACGTGGTACTTCGTAATTCTAGGATTTCAGACACCACACCAGATTGGTTTTGGCAGTTGGTTTTGCAATTAGATGTTCTAGACATCGCTTATAATCAACTAAGTGGCAGGGTGCCCAATTCATTAAGATTCAGCTATGATTCCCTTGTTGATTTGAGTTCAAATCGCTATGAGGGCCCACTCCCACTCTGGTCCTCAAACATTACCGTGCTGTATCTTAGCGATAATCTATTTTCAGGGCCAATTCCTCATAACATTGGTCAAGTGATGCCCAATTTGATAGATCTAGACATTTCTAGGAACTCTTTGAGTGGAAGCATTCCCCT